ACTACAGAGATGGCTCAGTAGTTAAGAGCACTGGCTGCTCTTGCAGAGGGCTCTGCTTTGGTTCCTAGCACCCACATCGCAGCTATCAACCATCCATAACTCCAGTTCTAGGGTATCCAATGCAGGCAATATACTCACATAAAATAAAAATAAAAATAAATCTTTGCATGTGCATCAAATAAATCTTTCCTCCCTTAAAATAAGTAAATAAAATAATGATTAAAAGTATAGAGTAGAGCCGGGCATGGTGGCACATACCTTTAATCCCAGCACTCTGGAGACAAAGGCAGGCAGATCTCTGTGAGCTTAAGGCCAGCTTGGTCTACATAGTGAGTTCAGGCCAGCTGGGGCTACAAAGAGAACCTTTTTTCAAAAAAAAAAAAAAAAAAAAAAAAAAAAAAAAAAAAAAAAAAAACAACCGAATAAATAAATAAATAATAAAATAAAAAATAAAACAAGTAATAATACTTAACATATATGACAAAATGCATGAAGTCCTGTGGATGGGCTATGGGTGGGTCCAGACAGTGAAGGGAAAATTTAAATATGATTAAGATGTATTGACTAAAACCCCCAAAATTCAATAAAAATACATTGTTTTTAAAAAAAGTAATAATAATAGGGCTAGAAAGATGGCTCGGCGGTTAAGAGCACTGACTGACCTTGCAGAGGACCCGGGTTCGATACCCAGCACCCACATGGTGGCTATGAACTGTCCTTAGCTCCAGTTCCAGGGGAATCTGAAGCCCTCTTCTGACCTCCGTGGCATTGCACGACATGGGTGCACTCGCATACATGCAGGCAATACACTCATACACATAAAATATAATAAATATTTTAAAAAATACATTGCCAGGCTTGGTGGCACACGCCTTTAATCCCAGCACTTGGGAGGCAGAGGCTGGCAGAGTTCAAAGTAATAATAAATAAAATATTTGAAGCTGAAGAGATAGCTCAGCAATTAAAAGCACTGGCTGCTCTTGCAGAGGACCCCTTTCTCCCAACACTTTGAAAGCCCATGTAGAGTGTAATAAAGTCTAGACAGCTAGGAGACCTAGGACTAGAGAGAGAGAGAGAGAGAGAGAGAGAGAGAGAGAGGCCCCATGAGTCAGCATCAAGCAGATGAAGGAGGCAGAGCAACAGGAAAGGAAGGGGAACGTAAGGGGAAATGAGGGCTGGGAGCGAGTTCAACCCCGAATTACTTGCTGTGCAGGCACAAGGATTTCTGTTTGATCACCAGAATGCTTCAAAAAAGCTGGGCACTGTGGCATGTGCTTTTAATGCTGATGAATTTCTAGGCTAAGCCCTCTAGGTTAAATAAAGAACATTTTGAGGTTATACAAGGAAGTGAAACAAAAAACAATTCCAGGAAGAGCTGCTGAGAAAGAGTTGACCTTTTGAATACCCCACCCAGGTTGGAAATCCCCCTCCCTCTTCTGCTTTCTGGCAGTTTGTGGTTTTCTGGCAGTTTGTGGTTTTTGCCTTTATAAGCAGCCTGTAAGCTAAGCTCGGGGCTTCTCCTCTCCGAGTGAGGCAGGAGCCCGTCTGTGCAGACGCCAATAAATTCCTCTTTCTTGTTGCATCTCCTGGTCTGAGGACTGAGTTATTGGGGTGCGGCCTCCCGTGAACGCTGGACATCCCATTTTGGGGGTCCAACATTTGGGGGCTCGTCCGGGATTCGGTCGCCCCCAGACCCATCCCCTCAGACCAGTAGGAGGTAAGAAAAGACATCTTTTGTTTTGTCTCCGTTTGTCTGTAACTCTCTCTATCTGGGAGCGCTCCATCTGAATAATTGTGCCTGTACAGGACCTGTAGGTTTACATTCTGGGAACCTTGGGAGTGGCAGACGGGCCCAGAGAACCCTGGTTCCAACACTCTGGCCTCAGTCACCAGAGTGGTCTGGAGTAGGGAGGAGACCTGCTCGGCCGCTCCCCTCCCGATCTGTACTTAGTCTCGGGTTCGAGTCCCGAGTAGGGAAGTCCAGGTTTGAGTCCTGGCCCTAGGGCCCGAGCGATTCGGCCCTGGGAAGGAAGCCCGATCGGCAGAGACCTGGTGCCAGAGGAAGAGAAGGTCGAGCTCATCACCTTGAGGCAGTCAAAGTGGATGCCTTTTGGCAGGATTAAGAGGAGTCTCGGGGATCCCGAAGGTGAGAGTGAAAGTGGTAGATGTGACGCGCACCAGGGTGAGAGGAGGACTGGTCCAAGCGAATGCAATGAGATGTGGTGTGTATGCGTGATAGTTCCGGTCCTAGTCATACTAGGTGGGGGCCTAATCCTGCATTTTTCTCTACGCTCTCTATTCTAATGTGTTCTCTCTCCTTGTGTTTTCCCTTATTCTTGGTCTGAGTCTTTGTGTGGGACCGTTAATGGCAAAAGAGTAATTGAGGCTTTCTGGTCAGGGCTACCCCCTGATGTAAGCTGAAGACTCCTAGCCCTCTTGGCAGACCCCGACTGCCTGTACGGGTGGAGACAGGACCCCTTTGTCTGTATTTCCTTCTCTTCTCTTGCCACTAAGAAAGCCCCGCGGGCACGGGTCGAGCCAGTAAAAGCCACAGGGTGCTCACTGCTAAAAGACTCCCGTGAAAGGATAAGGGGGTCCCAGGTGTGAATTCCAGATAAATTCACGTCCCCCGCAGAAAAAAAACTGGGCAACGTCAGGTACCTGTCCACAAGCACATCCATTGACCATCGTTGTTCAGAGTGGCATCTTTGCTTCTCCTGTTTCGGTTTCATTTCCTTTCCTCCTCTCCATCCACCCTGGGGCATTTGAATCAGGAGCTGTTGTCTGGTGTTAAATATCCTCTAAACCCATGGATCAATCCTTGATCACCCCTTTAAGCCTGACTTTAGAGCACTGGAAGGAGGTCGTGGAACGGGCCCACAATTCATCAATGGAGGTCCGAAAGAAAAAGTGGCAGAGCCTCTGCTCCTCGGAGTGGCCCACCTTGGGGGTGGGATGGCCAAGGGATGGGACTTTTGACCTGGATACTATCTTACAGGTTAAAGAGCGCATCTTCCACCCTGGACCACAGGGACACCCAGACCAGGTGGCCTATATAGTCACCTGGGAAGATTTGGCCCGGAACCCCACACCTTGGGCTCAGCCGTTCTTACCTCCTCGAGGAACCAGGGAGACCAAGCAAGGGTCCCCCACCCCCTCGGCTCCCTCGGTTTCCCCAAGCCCCACTTCTTCCCTCTTGCCCCTCCGGTCTCCTTCTGAAAAGGAGAACCCAAAACCAGTCCTCCCTGAGGACAAAGCCTCTTTAACCCTTCTGGATCCCCCACCCCCCTATCCACCCATGCCGGCACCCCCACCTCAGGAACCCCAACCCTCTCCCGACTCCACTGAACCTGCCCAATCTCCCCCTCCGTCTAGCCGACTCCGCCTGCGGAGGGAGAGAGGGGGCCCCTCAGACGGAGCCTGGACTGCCCAGGTTTTCCCCCCTCTGGACAGTGGGAGATCAGATCCAGTACTGGCCTTTCTCAGCCTCTGACTTGTATAACTGAAAGACTCATAATCCCTCTTTTTCTCAGGACCCCCAGGGTCTAACTGCCTTGATAGAGTCTATCCTCCTCACCCACCAACCCACTTTGGAGGATTGCCAACAACTCCTCCAGGCCCTCCTGACCACAGAAGAAAGGCAGCGAGTCATCCTGGAAGCCCAGAAAAACATCCCCGGGCAGGATGGGAGACCCACTCAACTCCCAAATGAAATAGACGAGTGATTTCCTCTGACTAGACCCAACTGGAACCACGAGACTCTGGCTGGTAGGGAGCGTCTCCATCTTTATCGCCAGACTCTATTAGCAGGTCTCAAAGGGGCCAGAAGGTGCCCAACCAATTTGGCAAAGGTACGCGCTATAACTCAGGGGGCAAATGAAACCCCTGCAGCGTTCCTAGAACACCTAATTGAGGAATATCGGATGTATACCCCTTTTGACCCCTCCACCCAGGAGCGTCAGGCGGATTTAATAATGGCCTTCATAGGGCAGTCTGCTCCTGACATTCGAGGCAAACTCCAGTGGCTGGAAGGCCTTCAGGGTTACACCTTACAGGATCTGGTAAGGGAGGCTGAAAAGATCTATAATAAGTGAGAAACAGCGGAAGAAAGGGAAGACAGAATAAGAAAAGAATAGGAAGCTAGGGAAGATAAGAGAGAGAAAAAGAAAAATAAGGAATTAAGTCGAATTTTGGCCACTTTAGTTCAGGGGACAGGTCCAGCTAGGGACCTGGGAGACAAAAGGAGGCCCCGAGTGGATAAAGACCAGTGTGCCTACTGCAAAGAGAGGGGACATTGGGCTCGAGAATGCCTGAAGAAGCTAAACAAACCTCAGAAGAGAGCAACCCTGGTCCTGACTCTAGGGGACTAGGGCCGTCGGGGCCAGGAGCTCCCCCCTGAGCCCAGGGTAACTTTAAAAGTAGGGGGACAATTAACTACCTTTATGGTAGACACAGGGGCCCAACACTCAGTCCTGACCACAGCTGGGGGGCCCTTGAGTTCCAGAAAAGCCTGGGTCCAAGGGGCCACCAGGGGAAAAACATACAGGTGGACCACAGAAAGAAAAGTGGACCTCAGCACGGGACAGGTCTCCCATTCGTTCCTGCTGGTCCCCGACTGTCCATACCCCCTTCTTGGAAGAGATTTACTCTCTAAGTTGGGAGCCCACATCCACTTCACCAGAAAGGGAGCCAACCCTAAAAGGAAAGGATGGAGCTCCACTACAAGTCTTGACCCTACGGCTGGAAGATGAGCATCGGTTGTATGAGGAACCGATAGTAGGGACCCCTGGGGTATCAGACTGGCTAACTAAAATCCCCTCGGCATGGGCCGAGATGGGAGGCCCGGGACTGGCATTCAACCAGCCTCCAATAGTGGTCACCCCAAAGCCATCAGCAACCCTGATTTCAATCAAACAATACCCCATGAGCAGAGAGGCCCGAGAGCGGATCAGGCCCCACATCCAAAGACTTTTACAAATGGGCATACTCTGCCCCTGCCAATCCCCTTGGAATACTCCACTGCTCCCAGTGAAAAAGCCAGGAACAAATGACTATCGACCTGTCCAAGACTTGAGAGAAGTAAATCGGAGAATAGAAGACATACACCCCACTATTCCTAATCCCTACAATCTCCTGAGCTCTCTGCCTCCCAGTCACAGGTGGTATACTGTCCTCGACCTGAAGGATGCATTCTTCTGTCTAAGGCTGAGCCCGGTTAGCCAACCCATCTTCACTTTTGAATGGAAAGACCCTGAAGCTGGAATACCGGGGCAACTAACTTGGACACAACTTCCTCAGGGATTCAAAAACTCCCCTACTGTTTGATGAAGCTCTGCATCGTGACTTGGCTGACTTCCGGGTAAGAAACCCACAGATCATGCTCCTCCAATATGTGGATGACCTCCTCTTAGTGGCTGAAATGGAAGCTGGCTGCTTGCAAGGTACGGAGGCTCTCCTATTCAGACTGGGGGAACTTGGATACCGGGCCTCGGTGAAGAAGGCCCAGATCTGCCTACAGCAGGTGAACTATTTGGGCTACCGGTTGGAGGGAGGGCAATGCTGGCTGATGGAAAGCAGAAAGCAGGCGGTGGCCTCTATTCTCCCACCAACCTCAGCCAGAGGGCTCACAGAGTTCCTGGGAAGCGCAGGATTTTGCAGGTTATGGATACCGGGTTTCGCTGAGATAGCGGCTCCCCTATACCCATTAACAAAAGGTGGGACCCCTTTTGCTTGGACAGAAGAACACCAGAGAGCTTTTGATCAAATAAAAAAGGCACTGCTGACAGCTCCAGCGTTAGGATTGCCAGACTTGACAAAACCTTTCATCTTATATGTGGATGAAAGCAAAGGGATGGCAAAAGGAGTTCTTACTCAGACCCTAGGACCCTGGAAGAGGCCGGCAGCCTATCTCTCAAAGAAGCTGGACAATGTGGCCACTGGCTGGCCCCCATGTTTAAGAATTATGGCAGCAGTGGCATCCTTAGTAAAAGACTCAGACAAACTCACCATGGACCAGCCTCTCACTATTGTAACACCACACAGAGTGGAGTCCATCATCAGACAGCCCCCTGATAGATGGCTGTCAAATGCCAGAGTTACCCACTACCAGGCCTTACTACTAAACCCAGATAAGATCAAATTCGGTAGCCCTGCCGCCCTGAACCCCGCCACGCTGCTACCAGCCCCTGAAAGAGACACCGAGATTCCCCATGACTGTCAGCAAATACTTGCAGAGACTCATGGGACTAGGGAAGACCTCATCGACCAACCCTTAACAGATGCGGACGCCACATGGTACACAGACGGAAGCAGCTTTCTGCAAGACAGTGAGCGCAAGGCGGGGGCGGTGGTGGTTGATGGGGAAGAGATAATCTGGGCCCAAGCTCTGCCGGCCGGGACGTCGGCCCAGCGAGCTGAATTAGAAGCTTTAACCCAGGCCCTAAGGTTAGCAAAGGACAAAAAGGTCAATATCTACACCGACAGCCGCTATGTGTTTGCCACCACCCATGTACATGGGGAAATTTACTGGAGACAGGGGGCTACTCACCTCGGCCGGTAAGGACGTTAAGAACAAAGAAGCAATAATGGCCCTTCTTCAGGCCTTGTACTTGCCCAAGAGGTCAGCATCATCCATTGCCCTGGACACCAGCGGGACCAGGGACTGATTGCCCGGGGCAACCGAATGGCCGACAAGACTGCCCACCAGGCAGCAGATGGCACCTGCATTCTCTATGCCCAACCGTCTCCTGAGACTGCGAACGCGGAAGAAGCAGAGGAAACTCTCTTCATTTACTCTGAACAGGATCTGAAGGTAGCCCAGGAGTTGGGTGCAATTCTGGACCCTGAAACCAAAATGTGGAGGTATCAGAATCGAATTATACTGCCCAAAAAGGCGGCCTTGGAGCTAGTCTCCCAACTCCACCAGTGGACGCACTTGGGGCACAAGAAACTGAAGATGCTACTGGAAAGAGAAGAACAATTCTATTACTTCCCCAACCTCAACTCAATAATCCAGACAGTAGTTGGAGGTTGTGTTTCATGTTCTTTGGTAAATGCCTCAAGGCATCGAAGCCCCCCAGGGAAAAGGGAACGGGGAGACCGTCCGTCCGGGCACAAATTGGGAAGTCGACTTCACTGAAATTCTACCAGGCAAATATGGTTATAGATACCTTTTAGTATTCATAGACACTTTTTCAGGGTGGGTGGAAGCCTATCCCACCAAGAAGGAGATGGCTCAAACCGTGGTAAAGAAGCTGATTGAAGAGATCTTCCCCCGGTTCGGACTACCCAAGGTAATCGGGTCAGATAATGGACCAGCCTTCATCTCCCAGGTAAGTCAGGGAATGGCCAAAGCATTGGGGATCAATTGGAAACTACATTGTGCTTACAGACCCCAAAGTTCAGGGCAGGTAGAAAGAATGAATAGAACTATTAAAGAGACCTTAACCAAATTAGCTCTAAAGACTGGCACTAAAGACTGGGTACAGCTCCTACCTCTAGCTCTATTCCGAGCTAGAAATACTCCCGCTATGCATAGCTTGACCCCCTACGAGATCCTCTTTGGAGGACCTCCTCCTGTCCTCAATGTAACTTTATCTCCCCTGCCCTCTTCTTTTGACAACCCAAGCCTGAAAACAAGACTCCAAGCCCTCCAGATCATCCAGAACCAGGTTTCAAAACCCTTGGCTGCTGTCTACCGACCTGGGAGTCCACGTACACCCCATCCCTACCAAATTGGAGACCAGGTGTACATGAGAAGACACAACACAAAGACTCTTGAGCCACGGTGGAAGGGGCCCTACACGGTTCTCCTGAGTACGCCTACAGCCCTCAAAGTACACGGAATTTCGGCCTGGATCCATACTTCCCATATCAAGAGAGCCCCGGCCCAGGAGAACACTGAGAAATGGTGCCTGCACAAAACTCCCAACCCTCTAAAGATAAGACTCTCTCGAGATACTTAATGATTCTACTCGTTTGTAGGCTTGTCTCCGGCCGAGGAAACCCCCACCTCCCTGTGCAAACTACCTGGAGGGTAATCAATCAAGTGGGTATTGTAGTATTTGAAGCCCACAAAACTGCTCCCAAAGGCACCTGGCGGCCCACATTATACCCAGATTTGTGCAAATTAGCCCTGGGAGTATCAAGTCCATGGGACTTGGAAGGGAACTGGAATATTGAGGTGGCTCCTGAGAAGGAAAGTCCCCCCGGGAGATGGGGACTTGACCCATGGGGAGGATGTGCACCCCATGAACGTTGGGCTATGCTGCATACATTAACCTTCTATGTCTGCCCGGGCAATCATAGGGACAAGTGGAAAAAACCCCACTGTGGGGGGGGGGCCCTATTTCTACTGCAAAAACTGGGGATGTGAAACGACTGGGGACACCTGGTGGTCCCCTTCCTCATCATGGGACTACATTACTGTGAAACCAAATTACTCCGATGGGAAGTTTGACGATTGGAAAACAACTCATAAGCAGGCCTGCCAAGGTAAATGGTGTAATCCCCTCTGGATAGAATTCACAGAAAAAGGAAAAAAGGCTGCAGACTGGGACAAGGGGTACTCTTGGGGCATTCGGCTATACAAAGAACGGGGAGATGATGGCCTCCTTTTTACTATTAGGAGAGATACCTCCTCCTATCAGACGGCCATCGGGCCCAACCCTGTCTTGCCTATCCAGAGACCCCTCCCCGGTTACCCAAATCCCCCAACCCCAACCAAGCCCACCCACAAGCCGACTCCAGCACCTGCAGTCACCTTGCAACCCCTCCCTAATCCTTCTTCCAGCACCTCCCGCATAGATACCCTATTGGAATCGACCCCCAGTCCACCAAACCAAAGGATTCCAACCACAGGGGATCGACTGTTCAACCTGATCCAAGGGGCATATAAGGCCATCAGGCAAACAGACCCTAACCTGACTGAATCCTGTGGGCTGTGCTTGGCAACCATTCCCCCTTATTACGAAGGGATAGCTATCCAAGCGGCATTTAACAACACCACTTTAGCCGACCAATGCCATAGGGAGACCCTTTGACCCTCACTGAAGTTTCAGGATCTGGACTCTGTTCAGGAAACCCACCCTCAACACACATCCACCTTTGCAATTCGACCATCCTTGTCATTCCAGGGCAGGCCAATTACTCTCTCCATCCCCCCGAGGGGGCATGGTGGGCCTGCAGCACCGGCCTCACTCCCTGTGTGGCCAGTATGGTCCTAAATGCCTCACAAGACTATTGTGTCATGATCAGACTTCTGCCCCGAGTATTCTACCATTCCTCGGATTCTGTGGAGCAGTCTTTTGAGCAGCCACCAACTAGATATAAGAGAGAACCTGTGTCCCTGACCCTGGCAGTACTCTTGGGAGTAGGGGTGGCTGCAGGAGTGGGGACCGGGACCGCTGCCCTGATACAAGGGCCACAACATTATGCAGAATTACAGATGGCCATAGATGAAGACATTAGGGCAATAGAACAGTCAATTACCCACTTAGAAAAATCCCTAACCTCCCTGTCAGAAGTAGTACTACAGAATAGGAGGGGGCTTGATCTGCTTTTTCTCAAAGAAGGAGGGCTCTGTGCAGCTCTGGGCGAAGAATGCTGTTTCAACCCTGACAGTTCGGGGGTCGTTAGAGATTCTATGACCAAACTCCGCCAGAGGCTGGATAAAAGGCAGAAAGACCGTGAATCCCAACAGGGTTGGTTCGAAGGATGGTTTAACAAAACCCCCTGGTTGACTACTCTAATTTCCACCCTAGTGGGCCCCTTGGTCATACTGCTCCTTATATTAACCTTTGGACCATGCATTCTAAATAGACTGTTGCAATTTATATGAGACCCACTGTCCATTACCCGAGCATTAGTCCTAACTCAGCAATATCACGCCCTCAGAAAAACAGAAGACCTATAGATTTTAGGATTAAAATCTAGCCAAAAGAAAAGGAAGGAAGGATGAATTTCTAGGCTAAGCCCTCTAGGTTAGAAGTAAAAATGAAAAATAATTCTAAACTGCTGAGAAAGAGTTGACCTTTTCATGCACCTCGCTCAAGCTGGAAATCACCCGAAAAGTTCCCCCTCCCGCTTCTGCTTTTCTTGGCTTAGGAGTCGCTTGTGGTTTGTGGTTTTTGCCTTTATAAGCAACCTGTAAGCTGAGCCTGGGGCTTCTCCTTTCCGAGTGAGGCAGAGGCCCGTCTGCGCAGACGTCCAATAAAATCCTCTTGCTTGTTGCATCTCCTGGTCTGGGGACTGAGTTATTGGGGTGCAGCCTCCCGTGAACACTAGACATCCCATTTTGGGGGTCCAACAATGCCAGTGCTAGGAAGGCAGAGACAGGAGGACTCCTGAGGCTCCCAGGCTAGCTGGCCACTTAGTGAGATCCTGGCCACGTGAGAGACCCTGTCTCAAAAAAGAACAGAGTGAATGGAGCCTCATGAAAGTTACTTGAAGTTGACCCCTAGCCTCAACATGCATTTTCGCACATGTACTCAAATGAACATGCACACATACACATACACAGAAAG